CCGGATATGATGCATGGAAAGGGACACTGCGTCTCTGTGGTATCCCTCACAGTAACACATAATTTCAATCTAATCGTGGGAAAACATCAGACAACCCCAAATGGAGGGACATTGTACAATATAATTGATTGGTACTCTTCAAAGTTCTCAAGATCGTGAAAGACAAGTAAAGACTGATGAATTGTTATAGATACGATAGATGAGGGTAGGGCCACTACACATCTTAATCATCTGGATTTTCATCAGGATTTGTTCTCCTAAAGGGAATTCAACAGCCCACTGACTTGTTCCCTTACATGATGTCTGTGAGTCAGTCTTAATACAGAGCCCTTGCCCTTGCATTCCTAACCTGGAAGAAGGTGGTTCTGCTTCCTCTTGGGGCCTATTCTCCCCACTGTCTGTTTAATTTGAGATAGAGTATCACTCTGTCACCCTGGGTACAGTGCCATGGTATCATAGTTCACAGCAACCTCAAACTCTTGGGCTCCAGAGATCTTCTTGCCTCAGCCTCCTAAGGAGCTGGGACTACAGGCACCTATCATGACGCCAAACCAGAGCCCTTGCATTTAGAAAGAAAATCCATTTGATGACTGTAATTATCCAGACTTGTACCTTACCTTTTTGGCTACCTTAAAATATATCTTTTGCCACTAACCAAGTGTGTTTCTACCTATGGCAAGATAGTTTGGGGAGGCCTCTTTCCTCACAGTTCTGGGTTTATTTTCCACCAACCCCTCTTCTTCATACAAGGCCATTCCTATCCCAATGAGTGTAAATGTGCCCCAAGAGAGGAGAGCCCGTCTGATGTGCTTGCTGCCTCTGGAAACTGCTCAGAGATTCCAGCAGCAGTTCCTTAGCTGCCATCACAGGAGTCTGGGGACCCTGGAGACCTCTACTTCCTAGAAAGAGTGAGGAGCATAAATCTTGCTTGGTGGCCACATCTCAGGTTAGAGATCTGCCCCAAAATGTATAACCCCCGCAGGTTAAGTTTCTAGGATTCAAGAAGCAGAATGTGTTATTGGTCCTCTATTTCTCATTGGGAGCTTTTATAAGGCAAAAACTTCTGATTGAAGTGAAAATAATGTCAGGCTGAGCAGCTCCCTGGTTGCATTCCGTCCTGTGGAGCTCAGAGCCCATTTATGTGGATGCCAGAATTGGATAGACTATCAAACATGCCCCAGATATGTAGCCATCACCCCTCGCTTGGTGATAGGCTGCCAGAGAGAGGCATTGCTTACCATTTGCTGACACAAAAACGCACCATATGCCTGTGGTTGGTGAGAAGGAGCATGGAGATGGTTATTTTAACTCTTCCTTTCCTCATCTGGGAAATAAATGGATTTTTTTATTATGTTACTGGAGAAAAGTAACATCTGTTTCTAAATCTAAGGTGAAGGTCACAGAACATCTGAATCACATTTTCTTTCCTTCTCCTTTTCCACCATGAAGGCCTTCTGGAAGATTCTCCTCTATTTTGGGACCATTCAACACTCTCTTTCCCAAATCTGAGGTACATCTTGTCCTCAACTAGGAAATACCCAAGGTCAGTACTTATGAGGTTTCTTGAGGCAAAGTCTTCAGAGCATGGGGCCCCACCTAACTCCTTCTGAATGAGAATCTCTATGGGTGGGCCTAGGCTGGGCCCAGTGGCTCACACCTGTAATCCTAGCACTCTGGGAGGTCAAGGAGGGTGAATTGCCTGATCTCAGGAGTTCAAGACCAGACTGTCTCTACTTGGGAGGCTGAGGCAAGAGAATTAATTGAGTCTGGGAATTTGAGGTTGATGTGAGCCTGGGAACCCTAGCCTGGGGCAACTGTAAGACTGTTTCAAAAAACAAAAACAGGCTTGGTGCCTGTGGCTCAAGCGGCTAAGGCGCCGGCCACATACACCTAAGGTGGCAGGTTCAAATCCCCAGCCCGGGCCCGCCAAACAACAATGATGGCTGCAACCAAAAAATGGCTGGGCGTTATGGCGGGTGCCTGTAGACCCAGCTACTTGGGAGGCTGAGGCAGGAGACTCGCTTGAGCCCAGGAGTTGGAGGTTGCTGTGAGCTGTGATGCCATGGTACTCTACCCAGGGGGATAGCTTGAGGCTCTGTCTAAAAAAAACAAAAAAAACAAAAAAAAAAATCTTTGGATAGACCTACGATTCTGCATTCTAGAGAGTCTAGAGAGCTTCCAGAGGTATTCTGAGAGGCCATTGCTGGCCTGCCTCACTCAGCATTCCTAACCTGGAAGAAGGTGGTTCTGCTTTCTCTTGAGGCCTATTCTCCCCACTGTCTGGTTCCCTTTGTCTGAGTTGCCATCAGGATGATCTGTGCAGGAGCCTGTCACAAAGCACCCAATTCCCAGATACTGCTCCTCCCTCCCGATGGACCCAGGTGTCTGATTTTCACTGGGCTGGAAGCTTGCCTGCATTGCAAACACTAAATGAGAAATGGTCCCAGGGCTGGATGGAGCCAGGAGCGTATGGACAAGCTGAGATGGGGAAAAACAGACCAGACGCTAAGAGGGAAGCCTGGGGTGGATGGACCAGCCTGGCTAATCCGCGGGAAGAGGAGAGGATGGCGGTGGACAAGGACAGTGAGATCAGTGGTCAGGGGCTCAAGATGGAACAGAAGGGGCAGAAGCAGGGAAAGAGTGGGCCCCCATACCTTCCAGTGCTGGCCTGGGGTGGGCAGTCCTGGCCTACAGGGTGAGCGGGACTGCCCACAGCCACACCAGGCAGGGTGACCTGACCACTCCATCCACTGGGCACACCCGGCTCTTGGGGTCTCCCCTGACCAGTTCACCTGACGGAACATGCTGCTCCCATGCTTTTGAGCCCCTGGCTCCTAGAAAACCACCTGGGCCTGAGACATGGTCTCCAGGCATAGTCTGCCACCTCTCAGCCTCAGAGATTGCATCTCTGTCTCCAAGAACCTGCCCCATCTCTGAGGGCTGCCTGGCTAGAAGCTGCCCCTCCTGCTGCCCTCAGCTGTGTTACAGATGTCGGTCTGCACTGCTAGCGCCCTCATCCCTCTATTCAGAACCAAGGAAGGGGCCAGAGCTGGTAACTGGCCTTGGTTTTCCCTTGTTCTTTAACACCCACGTGCCAGGCGATGGATTTAGTGGAGAATGAAACTCTTGAGCAGTCCTGCTCCAGGAAGCTGGGGGGTCATGAGAGAGGGACACATTGAACAGAGAAGCTCACAGGTGAATGTGGAGCTTCCAACCTCACCGGTGCTGGGACAGAAAAAGGCGCAAAAGCCAGGTGAGGTGTCGGGTGTCAGGTAGAGGACAGATGGTTCCTGCAGAGCTGGCTAGGTGCCTTAGGGACTCCTTGGCTTCCCAAAGTGACTGTCACTAGATCAGAGTGTGACAGACCTCAATGGGGTCTACATGGGCTGGACCAGCTTCCCAGGATCTCCACAAAACAGGCCCAGGTGAGGGGCACATGAGGGGACCCAAGGGTACAGCCACAAGCTCAAGGGTACCCCCACCCTGGTTACTCAGATGGCCCTGAAACCACCACCACCGGCTAGTGAAGACGCTGGGCAGCAGGCTCAGGCCGTCCTGAGAAAATCCTTCTGCCAGAGGTCAGGTGTAGGATGGGCTTTGGAGATAGGCTGTAGTTCCAGCTGCCAGGTCTTGAGAAAGTGGCCAGTGGTCTCTGAGCTCCATTCCCTCATCTAGGAAAACAAGACAAGCGCCTGCCTCTCAGCATTGGTGGAGGCTACAGGAGACCACCTGGGGAAGATGCGGGCCCAGAGCTTGGCCCTGGCATTGCCTTCCAGTGGGGCCCTGAAGCAGGCCGGCAGCTCTGGATGTTGTCATGGCTGACAAACACTGGGACGTTGTGCTAAGCAGGTACCTTGAGATGCCTCAAGAGGCCTGTGGAGCCAAGGTGGGCCTCTCTGCTCCCTCTCTGCTCCCCGGTCCCCTTCTAGGAGGCCTGGGATTGGCTGGTCCCTTGCATGTGGGGCCTCCACAGCTGGGCCCAAGTCCTCACACCCCATGAAAGCTGGCAGGAGGTAAACAAGTGTGGCTGCAGGCAGAGTGGTTGGAGTGCAGGGTGGGGGTGAAGTCTTCGGACTTTCTTACCCCCAGAACCAAAACACCTTCACTCCGTCCAGACTGAGTACAGAGGGAGGACCCACAGTGCAGGCCAAAGGGGCCCCAGAACCCTGCAAGCGGCTCCCATCTGGTTTTCCCCAGGGGGTAAGGAGTCTTCCTGCCCCCCCACCAGGGACTCTCCCTGTGAGCACACTTGCACCTTTCATATAAAAGCACATCATGGGCTGGGCACAGTGGCTCACACCTGTAATCCTAGCACTCCAGGAGGCCGAGGCAGCTGGATTGCTTGAGCTCATAACTTTGAGACTGGCCTGAGCAAAAAACGAGACCCTGTCTCTACTACAAATAGAAAAACTGAGGCAACAAGTTTGCTTGAGCCCAAGAGTTGGAGGTTGCTGTGAGTTATGATGCCACAGCACTCTACCCAGGGTAACAACTTGACACTCTGTCTGAAAAAAATAAACTGGGGCAGCACTTGTGGCTCAGTGAGTAAGGTGCAAGCCCCATATACCAAGGGTGGTGGGTTCAAACCCAGCCCCGGCCAAACTGCAACAAAAAAATAGCTGGGCGTTGTGGCGGGCACTTGTAGTACCAGCTACTCGGGAGGCTGAGGCAAGAGAATCACCTAAGCCCAAGAGCTGGAGGTTACTGTGAGCTGTGACACCACAGCACTCTACCAAGGGCAACAAAGTGAGACACTGTCTCTTAAAAATAAATTAATTAATTAAATAAATACATGCACATCACCTCTTACCCAAGTATGGTGACATATAGCTGTAGTAGGCTGAGGCCAGAGGATAACTCGAGCCCAGGAGTTCAAAGCTGTCATGTGCTATGATTGTTACAATGGTGCCTGTGAACAGGCACTGTCCTGCACCCTGAGCAACATACTGAGACCCCATATGTTAAAAAAAAAAAAAAGCCACCTCTTAAAAAGGACCCAAGTGCTCACTTTGGCAGCACACATACTAAAATTGGAGCAATGCAGAGATTAGCATGGCCCCTGGGCAAGGATAACATGGAAATTCGTGAAGCCTTCTCTAAGAAAAAAAGAAAGGAGAAAGCATGCCTCTCACTCTTCCCAGAAAGACAGACACACTCCACTTCCACAGGAAGCCCGAAGGGACACCTTTGTTCATGGACTGACTCCACCTCAGGAATCCAGATGGTTGCGAGAGGTGGCACCAGACTCTCCATTTTAGGGCAACTGTCCTCAGGCTCAGCGGGTTCTGGGTCTTTAGCTCACGATACTAGTAGGGACCGCCAATGCTTAATTTAATCTTTTTCAAATCAGAGAAAAAATATGAATATAATCTACCCTTCATGATATTTGTCTTTATTGCAATGTCATCATAAAATATACTTTTCATATGTTTTATAGAGGAAAAGGACCACGGCTCTGCTCCAAGTGCAGGTGATTGAAATGTCACTGTCAGAGACCTCTGGTTCAGATGCAGGTCCCTGAGGATGTGAGCATTCCAGCTCCTTGAGGGTGAACGTTTATCAGCCAGTGCCCCTAATAAGAGTGGGGAGAAACAGCCAGAGGAGGGAAGCAAGCAGTGCTTAGGGCGCACTGTTGCTAAAGGGTGAACTTGACTTTGAGCACCTTTGTTCCACTGGGACTACATCCTCATTCTGTGGAATTGGATCACCAGTAAATGGCAGAATAATGAATAAATAAGCTAACATGTTAAATTAGCTTAAAATCAGAAATGAAATTAAATGCACTGAGCCCAATCTCTGAAGGAAGAGGCATGATGATTATTAACGATGATTATTAACCCAGTACAACTGGGTATGTCCCCTCATTCAGGGAGCTCACTGCCTAGTGAGAAAAGAGGCAGAATTAAATAATCACATACTGATATTACAGTAAAGGGATGTAGTTCTGACTTCAAAGCCAATATTACTTTGTGGTCTACATGGGTTGGACCCCATGGTAGAGGCCAAGTGTGCTGGCTCATACTGGAAATCACAGCACTCTGGGCCAAGGTAGTGGGATCACTTAAGTTCAGGAGTTCAAGAGTAGCCTAAGCAAGAGCAAGACCCCATCTCTACTAAAAATTAGAAAAAATTAGCCAGGCGTGGTGGTGCACACCTGTAGTCCCAGTGACTCAGGAGGCTGAGGCAGGAGAACTGCATGAGCCCAGGAGTTTGAGATTGCAGTGAGCTATAATCAGGCTACAGCCTCTAGCTGGGGTGAGAGAGCAAGCCTCTGCCTCAAAAAACAAAAAAATACAGAAGAGGAAAAACTATGCCTTATGCCTCAGAGAGTCAGGGATGACTCACGAAGAGGTTACATTTACACTGGGTCTTGAGGGATGCATAAGAGTCCTCCAGATGAAACATCGATGAGAGATGGTCAAAGTATGTGGGCTTTGAAGTCAAACAGACCAAAGCTCCAGTCCCAGCCCTAATCTCTACTGTCCATGTGACCAGAGAAAGACAGTTAACCTCTCTGAGATTCGGTTTCCTTATCTACAAGATAGCTACCCTGAGGAGTTCTTGGGAGGATTAAAAACAATAACGTACATATGATACCGAGGTGCTGGCTGGCCCCGATGGGCTTATTGTGAATAGGAGTCACCATTTGGAGCTGAGGGAGTGCACAAAGTCATGTTTGGTGTATGAGTCACAAAGGCTGGATTGAGGGTGTCATGGGAGGCAGCTGGAGTCCAGAGAACCTGTTTGAATTTGTTCGGTTGGGGACATATCAGCTGTGTGATCCTGGACGACTTCCTCCGGTTCTCTGCACTGCAGGATGGGGTCAGTAACAGCCCGCCTCCTGGGGCTGCTGTGACAGTGCTGTGAGTTGACATAGAGTGAGGTGCCCAGCACAGAGTGAGCTGCTATTACTGCTGCTGTCACCATCACCCGTATTCTTTTGTTCATCTTTGGGTGGAGGAAAAAAGGGAACAGGGCTGAGACCAGACAAATCACGCCTGGCCCTCCGCGTGCCTTACCGCACTCCACGCACTCCAGGTGGGGACAGGCTTTGTCGTGTATGTTAATAGGTTTGCCTCTCTGACTCCTCTCCCAGCAGAGGGGAGCTCCTTGTCTCAGTTGCGGCTGTGTGCCCAGTGTCTGGCGCAGCACCTGACACAGCACTGTCGGCCCTCCACATCCATGGATTCAACTAATTCTGGACCAAAAATATTCAGAGAAAAAGAATTCATAAAGTTCTAAAAAGCAAAACTTGAATTTGCTGTGCATCGAGTACTACGTTGAACCCATTGCAAGGGGTGATGCCTAGGCAGAGTATTGGGCAGTATAAGTCATCTAGAGGGGTTTGGTGTGTGCAGATACTGTAGCATTTTATAGAAGAGACTTGTGCATCCTCCAGCATCTCCAGAGGGCCCTGGAACCAATCTCTCGCAGGTGTAGAGGGACAGCTGTATATGCCTCATAAACGTGTATAGGATGATGGATGGGTATATGCTAGGCGGGGGAGGAGGGAGGGAGGGGGGAAAGGAAGATCAGGGACGGAGGGGATGGAAGAAGATGAAATGGATGGACACATAACTGGCTGGTCGCTTGGTTTAGGAGAAGCATAAGGCATGTTGCAGGCAAGCCCCAGAGCAGGGCTGTGACTGCAGCTGGGTTCCTGCTAGTGGTACTGTTACAGCTCTGGAGGGGGTCACAGCAGGAAGGAGGCAGGTGGGAGCCTCACAGATGGATGGGGGAAGTTGGCACAGGAGAGTGCACCCCAGCCCCAGAACACAAGTGCAGGGTCAGCTGGACCTTCCAGGGATCCTCACCAGCCTTCAGCCACTGGCCCTGGGGATCCCGGAATAGCTACAGGACCATCTGTGCTTTGATTTCCTCAGCCACACATGGGCATGAGAAAACCCATCTTCCACATTGTCACGAGGATGAGACACAAATGGTGTGAAGTACTCACAGTGCCTAGTACAGAGGAGGCACTCAACACAGGTGGCTGCTATCAGTATTACCATTGTTATTAATGTTAATAAAAAGGCACTTCATACCTCATTATAATTCCAATTATAGCCCAAAGCATTTTCTGTTTCAGATGCAAGGTTCTGCCTGGGGCCACAGCCCCTGAAAATCACGTGTGCCATTCTTCTTCCCGGCTGAGAGCGAGCTAGCTCCTGGGACACCTATGTGCTGGCTTTCTCCCTGTCTCTCTCTGTTCCTCTTCTTCCCCTCCATCCCCTGCCCTCTTTCTCCTCCTGCATCTCTGCTTTCTTTCCTGAGTTTTCCCCAGCTCCTTTCACCACCACTACTGCACACCTGAAGTGGCCCTCCCTGTCCTTCCCCTCTTCCCTCATTCCTCTGTGGGGCTCTGCACAGAGCCTCAGTGTGCTCATCTATAACAATGGGTACATTACCCACCAGGCATCTCACAGGGCTGTGGGGGGACTCAGTGAGATGCTCAGTGAAACAGGAGCCATATAATTATTGTCTTATGTCTAATTCACACCTCACTGTCTTCACTTCATTATGAGTTTGTTTTGCTTTTTGTTTTTTGTTCTTTGAGAGACAGGATCTCTCTGCGTCACCCAAGCTGGAGTTCTGTGGCTATTCACAGGCACCATCATGGCTCACTGCAGCCTCCAATTCCTGGGCTCAAGGGATCCTCCTGCCTCAGCCTCCTGAGTAGCTGGGACTACAGACACTTGCCCCAGCACCTGGCTCATTACTCATTATGTGGTTTTGAGTCAGAGGTTGAGCTCTGGAATCACCCGTGGCTAATTCCTGACATGTACTGTAAGAGCAGTTTGGAGAAGGAGCAAAGTATTGAGGAAGATACAAAAGGGAGGAAGAATGGAGGGTACTGAGGGACGCTGCTCACAGAAACGCTTTAAAGGGAACACACTGCTGAAGGGTGCTGACATTTAAAACACGGCACACTGGGCGGCACCCGTGGCTCAGTGAGTAGGGTGCCAGCCCCATGTACTGAGGGCAGCAGGTTCAAACCCAGCCCCGGCCAAACTGCAACAAAAAACAGCAGGGCACTGTGGCAGGCGCCTGTAGTCCCAGCTACTTGGGAAGCTGAGGAAAGAGAATCACCTAAGCCCAAGAGCTGGAGGTTGATGTGAGCTGTGACACCACAGCACTCTACTAACGGTGACACAGTAAGATTCTGTTCCCTCCCCAAAAAAGTAAAAAAAAAACCAACAAAAAACATGGTTCACACTCCTCCTCCCTTCTTGGGAGATGGAGCTGCCAAGTTCTGGCAGGTGGGTGGGGTAAGTTCAGGAATAGGGCATTGGTTAGGAAGACTCCAGGATAAAAGAGACTATGGCCGGGCCCACAAGTGTACACAATAGGAGGCGCCCTTGCAACATCTGACCCTCACTCCAGATTATCCCTGGGAGGCAGGTGTAATCACCTGCGTTTGACAGGTGGGAAAACAGGCCCAGGGAGCTGAATTAACTTGCGGGAAGGTCATACTCTTCCTCCCTTTGGTCTTTGTGCAGCATGGACCAAAATCCAGCCCCAACCCCAGCATTCAATTGTTCTTTAACCTCCCAGTGCTGGACGCTTGCATCATGGGGAGGGAGCAGACTCTGAGGACTTGAACAAGGGCTCCTGGATATGTCCACAAACGGCCATATCTGGGAAACATCTGGATGATGTACAAAAATACACATCTCCATACCCATAGACTGAAGTCTAATCAGGATGAGGCCCCCAACCACTCCATTTACTAAGGAATTAACATTTATTGAGACCCACTATGTGCTGGTACTATGCTCGACCCTTTCAGATATATTTATCTCATTTAATGCTCACAGCAATTCTAAAGTGAACGTATTTTTATTCTGATTTTTCAGATCAAAATCCGAGACAGAGAGCTGTGTTAGGTCACACAATCATGAGATACGTGTGACCATCCTCTGAATGGCTGTTTGTGTCTTACTGTGAGTCACAGGTCCAGGTACCTACTACAGGGTCTTTTGCAGACCTAGGTATAAAGGAGGAAGCCCTTGGTGGGGGGAGGTTATCGGTTTGTTTTGCTAAAATAAGACCTCTATAACAAACAATCTCAAAACCTTACGGGCATACAACAATGAGCATTGA